TTTTAAAAAGAATTCTTTTCTTAATTAGTTTTATTTATAAAATTTAAATTTAATATGTTCCTTAAATTAAAAATTAAAAATACTAATAAAAAAATAATAAAATAAAATATTTAAAAAATAAAATATAAAAAAAAAGTTCAACATCACTTGTTACATACATTTTTGGGCTTTCAGAACAGAACTATTAATCTCTTTACTAGGGATGACAAATATACTCGTACCGCGAGTAATACCCGAACTTGTCCCAACTTTAACGCGAAATACCCGATTTGATTGGGTATGGTTACAGGTAAAACTTGATATATTAAATCGGGTACGAGTATGGGTATGTACTTACCCGCCCTGTACCCGTACCCGTACCCGTCCCTATTTCCATTTTTAATTTAATACCCACTTTTAATTTAATTATATTAAAAAATTTAATATTTTTTTTATGTGTGATTATTTATTATAATATGAGATACAGAAATAACTTAATTATAATTACAATATAATAAAAAAAATTTAAAAATATCATTTTTTTTACAAAAAAATAAAAATTAAAAAATTGACAATTACGAGTATACCCGATACCCGACGGGAGGAGATGAAAATCACATACTCGACAGGTACGAGAACGGGAACGGAGATGAATTTAACTCAGAAAAACGAAGACGGATATCATGAAACCCGTACCCGACCTGCCCTGTTGTCATCCCTACTCTTTACCTCCCACTATGTCCAGAAATCTAAAAGGAAAGAGTAATGGTGGGCCCATCAATGAAGTGGAATTTTGATGGGTCCATCTCTCCCGAATCTGGTAGGGGATTCCTTGCAATAGTGGCCCACCATTCCTATGGCACTACCCTTTTCGTGTTTACAAAAAGGTGCTACCTGTCTCGTTTTTTCTCTCTTACATTTTCTTTCTATAATATAATTCTATAACATCCCACCTAATTTATTAGACTTGGTTTAATTTCTATAAACTTTTCGCTTCAAATCTTATTATGCTATTATAAAAATAAAAACTAAAAAAATTATTTATCATACCTGTCTTTTCCTTACCCTTCCGGTTGCACTGCAGTATAGTTAAGCGGGCCTTTCTTCATGGGCCTTTTCTCCTTTGGGCCTTTAACTTTTCTGCCTTGGATATTTTGAACAGACGTCCGAAAGAAAAATGAACCCATGCCTCGGCTGAATTTTTACTTATTTATGTATTTTATAATTTTAAAATGTTTAATTTGATATTTTCTTCCAACAAAACCAACGAATTCGAAATAATAATGAATGAATTTGTATTGAAATATTAAAATTAATTACTTCTTAAAATAAGTTAATGTTTGTTCAAAATACATTTTAGAAAAATTTTAAAATATATATAATAAATAGTTAGGTTACTCATGTAATGCCCATTGTATTTTTCTTCAAGGGTCAGCTTGTATATTTTAACATTCATCATGATAATAAGTACAAATTTAAAATACATTTCAATCAAAATAATTATTAAAGAATATTATATATATATATATATATATATATAAGAAGAAGAAAGAGTTAGTGCAATGAATACAAATCAATAAATATAAAAATATAACGAAAAAAATAAATATTTTAAATTTTATTAAATAAAATGGGTTTGGGAATGATTTTTCAAGCTAGTTGGGTTAAGATAGAGCTTGTTAATTTGTTTAATTTTTTAAAAGTATTTTTTTAATAAAATAAGTATCCTTTAAAAAAAATTGTTATCTAAACTTTTATTGAAGGAAAAACAGTTTTCTTTTTATTTAAAACTACTTGAACTGCTTCTCAAAAAATATTTTTTTTTTAAAATTAAGCAAATTGACCAGAATCTTTGCGTCATTTTTTTCCAATGAATCCACTCATTTGAGTGAGTGAGCTAAACTTCTCATTTAAGTGGGAATGGAATGGCATATGATATGGGGAAACTTCTTTCACGTCCTCACAGTTTTAGAAATTTGGCGCATTATTCTCTTGTCTCTCTCTTTTAAGTTGTTGGAATCACGTAGTTCTGATTTATTATTTAAGTTAATGGTCAATTATTTTACTTTCTAGAATATAGGAGTTTGTTATTAGCATTCTCAGTTTGTTTTTGTTTAGTGGCTTTATGTGTACCAAGTCAATTGGAAGTTATTGTTCTGTGAGTTGCCCTTTTTTAGGAGTTAGTAGATGCACTTCTGTCATGCAGATGCAGTTATGTGGTGTGCTACACAAAAACGATAAAACGGTCTTTCCTTCATATTGTTATCTATCCTATTTACACTCTACTTAATTAACAAATATCATGCGCTTTTTTTTTTTGTCCATCAAATATTTATGGCCTCAGTATTTGATTCACTATCATTTTTCTCCTTTTCTTTATTTCGTTTTTTTATTCTTCATAATGAATAAACTATCCGAATAAAAGGAGTTCTTTACATTTATCTCTCTTCACTTGGCTCTTACTACTCACCGAGAATGTGGATAATTTCCTTTTGTCTACTATTATGTAAAAAAAATTGATAAAGTTGTTATAAAAATGTTAATCTGCTAAGTTTGTGATTTATAAAACTATTTGCATGTAATCTTTTATGAGTTTTATTCAATGAATGCTTTTTTTTTTCTTTTCAATTTTCTAATCTAATATGATATTAGAATTATCTATATTTACTCTAAATGTGTTACTCATCATTAATACACGCACCAAAATCAATATTATTGAACATGAGGGAATGCATTAAAAACACTAAAATCAAATCAATAATGTTAGACGTGAGAGAGTGTATTGAAAAAAATTAAAGTCTCACTTATTCTAGATCATTAAAAATGATCATGCGTCATTTATTCAAGTACCAAATCTAATATATTAGACATGAGAGGTGTATTAAAAAAAAATCAGGTCTCATATTGACTAGATATAAGATAATTAAAAAATATATAAATAGAAAATAATCTTCACCTTACAAATCAAATTTTTAGAATAGAATTAGGTCCATAACCCATATTCTAATAATAAATGTATATAATTGTCTCAAGACAAAGGGTAAAAAACAAGCATTAATATATGTTCTTTGAAGAATGAATGTATAAAAAGTTAAATTCATCATGATTACTATAGGAGAAAACTAAAGAAAGCTTCGATAAATGAGAAAAGACTCAAAATAAAATGAAATTTCATGAAAAGTGAAAAAAAAAATTATAAGTACAAAAGAATTGTTTTTGATATTATATTAGAATATAAATTATAAATTTAATTCAATTATATAAAATCATCTTATAAAACGAGTGTGGTATCTCACTTATATATTATTTAAATATTTTATTTTAATTAATATAAAACTTGAATTTTTTTCAATAATTTTATTGTATTTTTCTTATTGCTCATTCTTTTTATTAAAAAGACTCAAATTCTAGAACTTGAAAAATTCGATCCTAGTTTCACTTAAACTAAACACATGTTGGTTGAGAATGTAGATAGCGATGATTTCTCATATTATCGCGTTAAGAAAACAAAATGTGTACTTCCTCTTTTTTTATTATCGAAAATGCATACAACTACGAGTTGCGATGTAAATCCAGGTAGATAGAATGTAGATTTTATAACTCGTCGATCTAGAATTCTAAACCCTGTCAATGTAAAAGCATGTCAAGAGAAAGTTTCCAATTATTATCCAAAAGCGACTAAAGGTGATTAAGAGTATTTTTTACAAAACATTAGAGAAAATTAAAACATAAAAATATTTAGTGAAAAAATATATTTTTAAAATAATATAATGTATTGAATACAATACATTAAAAAAATATTTTTAAGAGATTTTTTAATAAGAACATTTCCAAATTAAACAAAATGTTAGCGAATTTATTAAACTTTTTGATTTAGACTGATTACCACTAGTAAATTCATTGAATACTAATTAGAAAATATTTAATAAAAAAACATGTATTTATTACATTTAAAATGTAAAATGATAAGTTTTAAATAAATAAATAAATAACAATAAAGTTCAATAATATTAACAGATAAAGTAAAAGACTTGATATTAAGCACATTTTCTTCAAATACTAGTTAAAAAATAAAATTTAAAAAGTATTTGGAAGGTTCTTATTATATTTAAAATATAAAATTATCACTTAAAATTATTATATTAAATAGCAAAACTTATTACACACTTTTTATCTATTATTGCTACACCTTAATATGACAGTTAGAAATTTTGGAGTTAAACTAAATGAGACTATATAATTTCAAGGGAGATACCAGAATAGTGGTAAGAGTCTATTTGTATATACAAATTAGAAATGACTTTAAGAATTTTTTTATAGGAAATAAAAAAATATTTTATATATATAAAAAATTATAAAAACACTTGTAAACATATATAAGTAGGTATTAAAATAAGTGTCCTGAAATGGTGATAGTGACCTTACACTCAGTAAAATATTGAAAAACACGTTTTAAACCTTTTGTCGTTGCCATTAATAACTGGAGACTGAATCCGCAGTAGGAGACACCCAGCCCCAGGTCATAGTTTCCCAATCAACTTTTGCTACGTCATCATTATCCAGTTTAACTTCTCATCATCCTAAATTAAAGACACTTCCTATCACTAAAATAATTAAAAATATTGGTCCAAATATTTTTAATTATTTTATATAAATCAAAATAATTTTAAGAATAGTATAAAAGGTTTTATTTACAAAAATTGAGAAAGATTTTATAAATTTTTTATTCAATTTATTCCTTGTAATTTGTAAGTAAGTGTAAAAAAAATTAATTTATCATGACTTATAATATATCAAAAATATTTTTACTAAATTCAAACATTATATATATATATATATATAAGATTATAGTAGAATTTGTGTTTATATAAACTTAAAGAATTATTGATGTGAAGGTGATGAGGAAGAGGGGCCCACCCGTGTGGAGTCCGATAGCGTGTCCGCATAGTGGCCTCTTACGTGGTCCAACCTCTCCTCAAAAAGCTATATAAATCCCACGCAAACTCACTTGTTCAACAACACTAACTTCCTGGGATGAACAATTTGAAATCAGCACTGGAGGAGTCAGAAGCGTCGTATTCGTCGGAAACCAGTTCAATTCGGAGCGCTAGCGGCGCCCACTCTGACGACCAAGTCATACTCGCTTCAGCGCGGCCAAAGAAGCGAGCGGGGCGGAGAGTGTTCAAGGAGACACGACACCCCGTGTACCGAGGAGTGCGTCGCAGGAACAACAACAAGTGGGTCTGCGAGATGCGTGTGCCCAACAAAAACTCCCGGATTTGGCTCGGAACCTACGCCACGCCCGAAATCGCAGCGCGCGCGCACGACGTCGCCGCCCTTGCGCTCCGGGGAAAGTCCGCCTGCCTCAACTTCGCCGACTCCGTCTGGCGCCTGGCGGTCCCGGCCACCACCGACGCGGAGGAGATTCGAAAAGCGGCGGTGGAGGCTGCTGAGTCATTTGCGGCTGAGGACGTTCATGAGTGCCAGCAACAGCAGCAGCAACTGCAACAAGAGGGAATGCATGTGGATGAGGTTCATGAGTTGCATGATTTGCTTTTGAGCATCGCAAACGAGCCTTTGATGTCTCCTCCTCCTTCTGCAAGAGATCATGGAAGGGACTGGAATGACGTCCACATTTTTGATGCTGAAGTCTCCTTATGGAACTTTTCAATTTGACGCCTACCCACTCCACACTTTAATTAATTAGAGTTAGTTAACTCATCATTCAGTTCATTACCCTTTTTCAGTGTGACTAGGAGTGAAGCAATGTTGTGTATAAAAAGAATCACCACTCTCGACTAAGTTCAGTGGATAGTGTAAGAGTAGAGATATTTATGAGTAATTTTTATTCACTTTAAATGTGTTTTATTATGTTATATTATTTATAAATTATTTTATTATATTTTTATAATTTTTGTTTAAGTTGTTCATAAGTATTTTTATTTTTTTTGACAATTCATACTTCATTTTTTGTTCTCATCAATAATATTAATCTAATAGACTAGTTCCACTAAACAGTTTCACAGAATAAGAAATGTTGCTTCAAGAAGCAACGGAAGAAAATCTTTTTCAACTTTGATGCTATATCAGTCAACCTTAATAAAAATTTCTAGTAACTTACGTCACTTACTCACAAGAACCTCCTATTGAAATTATATGCTACTTGTATGTATGATATGTTTCTGATTTTCATATAATCAAAATTTAAAATCATAGTGGTTGACGTGATTTTATGATTTTAAAACCCTAAACAAATTAAAATCATAGTGGTGACGTGATTTTAATGGGAAGTAAATAAAACAGCTGTTCCCACCCCAGGAGTGTAAAGAGACGCACTAAGAGGACTTTGGTTTGACTTTGACTTCGTAATCCATATATATGACTTCACCATCTGACGTCACAAGAACCATGGCTTCCACTTGGTTGGTTTTTATTTATCATATACATACAGTAACTCAAGTATTAGTGTATTACACAAGGAAAATATCCTCTCACTCAATTTTTCACACGTGTTCCGCACAACATTTTGTGGCTTCTAATTACTGATTAAGAGACACAATATATCTTTACTGCACGACGAATTTATTAATACTCCCTTGCATCATAATTTTTAGGGTCGGAAATGAGTGTCCAACTTGAAAATATTTAAATTAATTTATCAATTTTAAATATGATTAATTATTCTTTATCTAATTATGTTGAAATAAAACTTAGCTAGGATTCGGGCCTTTTATCGGATAGCTATTTCGTAATTTTCCAAATTTTCAAAATTATTATTTTTTATTTGAAAATTTAAACTTCTCGAAGAAACTATAAACTCTAAGAGTGTAGCACAATACTTCAAAAGCTTATAAAGTTATTTAACTAAATAAATTTATTTGATTTATATAAATTTATTTTAAGAGTTTATACGTTAATTTTATAAGTTAATTGAAATAGTTTATAACTTAAATTTTTTATTTTTTAAAAAAATTTCTCCTTTTTTATCCTCATCAATTTATTTTAAATTATTTTCTAATCTTTTTATTTATTTAGAAACTATTTTGTTTATCATGTTATTATCTCACACTAATTATAAAAATTGTTTTATGTTACTTCACATTTTATCAATTAATATTATTAAATACTTTCAATTCAATTAACTAATTTATAAGTTTTTTTATTTATTTACTTTTTTAGCTCCCGAAAATATAATTAGCTAATTCATAAGTTTCTAACTTTCTTTAGCTATTGATTTATAGCTTATAAGTTTTTGGTTAACTTACAAACTAACTCAAAGGTTATAAACTAATAAACTAATTTTATTAGGCAAGCACTACGTAATTCAAGAATTAACTAAACTTATTTAAGAGATAATTATATCACATTTAACATAATTACTTAGTGTTTAAACATCATATACCAAATTCTTTATTAGTATTTTTAATATTTATAATTCTTATATGTAAATATTAAAGTTATTATGTTTTATATGCATAGATCTTACATTTAAATTTTGGTATCGTAATTTTGATGAATAAAAAAATTATATTTTATTCGATATTTGAGTGTGTAGATGAATTTTTATTTTTAGATTTTACTATTTGAATAATTAATGGACATTTTCTCATACTTTTATTAATCTTATCTTATATATTTTTGTGTTTTATAAATTCTCGTTTTTTTAAAAAGAAAATTTAAGTGCACTTTTGAAACTTTTTGAAAATTATATTTTTTATTAGATTGAAATATTGTTTTACTCCTTATAATTATTTTGTTTATTTTTCATTCCTCATAAATATAAAATCACTTATTTTGATATTTATAAAATGAGTGAATTTTGATTTTAATTCTCATAAAATATTTTACAATAATTTTATCCTTCTAACATATAAAAGAATTATTTTTTTGTTCTTAATATTTGTTATGGTAAATACACAACATTTATCTTGTGGATTTATATATATATATATGTGTGTGAAATTGCAAGACCTTTCATTAAACATAAGTAGTTGTTGAATGTCATATAAAAATGACTAGAAACAATTACTTCCTCTTTCTCTAACATAAAAAAAATAATTAAAATTCACTTATTTTATAGAAATTAAAAATATATTTAACCTTTTTATTTTTATCCAGAAAGCAATCCACGTAGGAGTAAATGAATTAAATGCAATACAAACAAAATAAATAAATTCTATTTAGTTAGTAAAATTAATCTGGTTCAATTCATTTAAATGTGGGGGCTAATAGGTTTTGAATAAACAGGCCAGAACTATAGATACAATTGAAGCATGCACGTGTAAAAAATTTAAAATAATACAATAAAATCAACGTAAAAGAAAAGGTCAAACTCATCAAATTTAGCTCCACGAGCACGTTTCCTTTTTTAAATATCACTTTATTATTCGTTCTTACGGTCAACACTCTCAAGTGGGTAATGGGTTGGTTATCGTTTGCAATTGCATAGTCTCGGTTGAGTCATGACTGAGTCACTTTATCTATCTGTACTGCGCAACCTTGATTAACCTTTCATTACATTTTCTGTTCTGTATCCTTCGCGCAATTTGTCCTTTTATGTTTCCCCTTTCCTTTCTTGTTACGTTTCAAATAAACGGCACGCTCCGTTGTTAACTATGACTCTCGTATTTCCGAACAACATGTGGTTCCCTTTGTTTCTTCCTTTTGAAATGGATAAGTGTGATATTTACTTTAATTTTATGGTATAATTTAAAATATTTATTTTATTTATTTATTATTTGAGATCTTTATTTATTAAAATTTATCTTGATTTATAGAAAGTTAATTCTAGCCTGTAATTCATATTTTTAGATAATTTATAATTTTTCTAATGTTATTTTATAATTGAGAAAGAAAACGATAGAAAATATTGAAAGAAGCAAATAAAAAATTTGTCAAAGCATTGAGAAAAGAGAAAAATATTTGGTTAAGTTTTCAGGTCGAGCGATAATCTTCTGAAAACAAATTCAAGTTTTCACGTTAAATGTAAAATTCATGCTTAACGTCTTAACTCAAGAGATTTCTTTTCTTATTGTTTCTTGTCTCATACTAAGTGTAAAAATACATGCTTAGTATTAGAAGTGTTGATATTACAAGAAATATTGATATCACTTATGGATAAGATCCATCTGGAATCTAGTAAATCTGTGGATAACATCAACGATGTCTAACCTTGACGATGGTGCTACAATGATGAGACCTTGGCAACAGTAAGTGGTGATTCTCTTAGGTTGGACGACAGACAGTTGTGCTTCAAATGGCGTGAGACCGGATGAAGACCACAATGGCATAAGTTTTTTTCTTTTGTTGGGATCGATAATTTCTTTTTTCCTTTTGTTATATAAATATAAATACAAATTATTATATAATATGAGTGTATAAATTATTGGCAAACACTGACTCCTCTCCATTCGACTCTTTTGAAATACACTTGTGTTACTTAAACTATTATTTAACAATATAAGATATTGGGATTTTGTTATATAAATATAAATTATTATATATTATAAGTTTAATCATTATATTAGTTCTTAATTTTTGAATTTATTATTTTCATTCTTTGATTTATTTCTTATGCTCAATAATTTCATAATTTTATTTTAAAAATATCAATTAAAATTTTGTTAAAATTTGTTCAATTAAGTTTATTTATTTTAAAATTCAATTTGCTCTTATTTTTTTACAAAGAAAAATATTTGAAGTTTATAAGAAAAAAATTGGACTAAATAAATCTCATTTTAAAAAAATTAAAGACTTCATTGAACTTTTTAAAATAAATGGATTAGATTCAGCTTAATAAATAAAGAAAGAGACCAAATATTAAACCTTTTAAAAATAAGAGGACCGAGTTGAACAAAAATAAAAAGTTAAAATACTTTTTTAGTTATAATTTTACTTGCTTTACAATTTAGTCATTATAGTTTAAAATATACTTTTTTGTCCCCATTTTTAATCCTTGTAGTTTAACATAGATCTTTTTAATCTCTATATTTACAATTTAAAAAAAAATAGTTTCTATTGTAACACCTTTTACCATGCATGTCATAACACATGATATAATATAAAACTGAAATAAAAATTATAAAGGAATTAAAATCAAACTACCCAATTTAAATAACATTAATCAAATCCTAATTCATTCTAAGTTTTAACTACTTCCCGATGTCATAAATCATGTCAAAGATATCCAACATTGAAGACTAGACCCCATCACCAACATTCTCAACACCATATGTTGATGATCACCTATAACAACCACAAGAAATGAATACAAGAGAAAAGGGAGTGAAAAACATCTCACTTTGACTCACAGTGCAAAAATGCAAATAAACTATGCAAATACAAACAACACATACAATAAGATATAACATACACAATTAATCATTATCATTATATTTAGTTCATTCATAACATAATAAACAACATCAAATAAGATTATAATGCATATGTAATGGACATGAACTACATGTTATCATGCATATGACACTAATAAAATATTGTACTTATACTTGTCGTTGGTAATACACTAGAGTAATTTAGGAGTACATGTCAAGTCACGCTCTCTATGCACTCTCAATAAAAAAAAAACATGCTACTAGGATCTGATTGGGATAGCTAAGCCGCACAAGATACATTTCATGCTCATAATGACATAACTAGAACTTTCAAATCGAGCTATCCCCAAGGTTGGTTCTCAAACTTTTACACAAGGGACATTTTCTAATGGTGTATTTCACATCGTACCCTTACAAAAATATTTTTATGCATATGATGCATGTTAAACAAATTCTATGCATTACATTCACAAAGTTCCATAATTTCACATCTCACACATTCATCATATCTCATTATTCATCACATACTCTCATATAATCATCAACAGAGATCAATTCATATCCACATCAACATTACATCACAAGAGTTATAACATAAGGTTAAACAAAACAAAGAAAAACAGAGGAATCACTCACAGAACAACATCCAACAACACACATTCCATGCCTGGCATGATACCTCTTGAGGACCACATTAATCTATGTCTGAAACGCACCTTACATGACCGAGCCCACACCCAACAAGAACACCACCGAGAGTTCTCTGGATTGTCCACATCTAGCAAAAGTCAACTCATGCTCGATAGAAGAGTCGTAGGAAATCCTTGGAGCTTTCGCATGCGGTGAGGGTCATCCTATGCTCGACGTGAAAGACTCCGAGAGTAAACTTTGTTCTCGACCTCAAGGATGTTCGTGAAGCTCAGTGACGTATAAAAAATGACTCGCTCTTCTGTAAAATCATGAATTCTCAAACATGCACATCAAATTCAATGCAAAATCAGATGTGAAATTTGAAAAGGTTATCGCATGATTATTATAACTACATTTGATTAGACAAATATGACTGGTTATATTGATATATATTTTTTGTTAGGCTTAAAATGTAACTTAGCATCTTATTTATATATGTTTTTTATTCTGTCGATAATAATTAACACAATTAATCCAAACAAATTTATATTTGTTTATTTATAGACACAAATATGAAAATAAATTTAATATTTTGAGTATTTTTCTGAATATAGATAACCTAAACATATTTTAAGTGTTTTCATTTTATGAAAATTAAAAATAAGTTCTTAAAGTAAAATAAATTTTTAAATTTTGAAATAATTAAAAAAATATTTTCTCAGACTAAAAGTCCGTTTAGCTCAGTTGTAATAATGGGTTATTTCAAAATTCGGTGATAACTTCATTTGCTATTGGGCTTAAACAAGGCCTAGCATGTGGCCCTCACTCGTGTCGACATGCCATCAGGACAGCACGTGCTCCATGTGAAGTTTCCGGTGCAAATGAAAACCCTAATCGAGGTCCATCCAACGGTCCCAATTGAAAGTGAGTTCCCCACCCGATCCAAGGGCCCCAACCGACGCATTTAATTTTGAGAAAATATTTGCATTTTTGTATTTTATATTTTTATAGTATCTGAAAGTGCCCTTTTCTGAAAAGGAGGCTTTCCGTTCCGTCCAATTTCACTGTCTCCTTCACACTATTCATTTTCTGCTTATGCGTTTGCATAACCGCTGATTGCCACAAAACCCTATTTCCCCAAATCGATGATGAAAGGTACGAAGCGTTTGGCTGTGTCGGAACCCAACCAGGCCGATACCAACGAAACGCCGGTAAGTGTCACTGTTAGCGCAATTGCCTTTGTCGTTTTGGACCTTCAAGTTAATTCATTTTTTTTTATGTACTTTAGCTTCAACTTTTTCCCCAAATTTTGAATAGAAAAAAAAATTATTTGCCAGCTAGTTCTCATTTCTCAACTATGAGAAGTATATTTATTTATTTATTTCATTTTTCTTTTTGGTTCTATAAATTTATCTAGCGTTGAATGCCCGCACAGTGGGTTCCGAAGGTGTTTGTTATTAGCATTCTAAGAGTGTCTCTTTATTTTATAATTCACTAATCTCTGGCAATAGATTGAAGAGCAATAACGCTTGGAAGTGGAGAACAGTAGATAGCCGCTTAGAAAACTGGTCATTCAAACGTGTATTAACCATCTTTGACAATTAGCCTCCAAAGTTAGCGAGAGAGTGCTGGGTGGTGGATATTAAAACCGGATCGTTTCTGTTTAATGTTTTGCAATTTTCTTGCTGGTTTTATTTAAGTTTTATATGCTTACCTCTAATTGTTGAATTTTGGTTTCTAAGTGTTTTATTTTATTTTCCGTGTGATGTCCGTGATGCATGTTACTATAACATAAACACCTTCCTCCAATTGCAATTTCTAAAGGTTGGGTCCAGAGGGCAAGGAGGAATTTTCAATGTTAATGAGATTTGGCACCCCTTGTTGAAAACTTTTAATGATTTTGAATGAGAAAGAATAATTTTTCTTATTCTACCTCCATTGTCACCATGATGCAGTTCCGGAATAAAAGAATAATGGAAGGATCCTTCTTTGATGTCCATAGGGCTGAACCATCCCAACAACCAAAGGTGGCAGCAGCAGCACCACCGTTGGATATGAAACGGGCAGAGTCATCACAGCAGCATGTGAGAGCTTTAAATACCCAGTTTGCAAGGTTCATCTTTAATTTAACAACAACGAATTTTCTTTTACTTGATTTCCACTTTTCAATTTTTCTGTCAATGGGAGATTCTGGGTTTGCTGTATTAAAGTCCAGGTTATAGTGCACGATCTTACCTAGATATATTAAAATCTAGGTTAAAGGATTTTGCATTTCTATGTTTATGAATGCTATGTTGGTTCTTGCCTAATCTTTCTCCTTGTTATGCTGTGTCTTTCTCACAGTTGGGTTCAAACACAACTAAAGAATCATCCTGATGAGCTTTGGGATGATGGTGTCAGAGATTACTTAGATCATGCTTCAAGCATTATGGTAATTTCTTACATGGTTTAATTGACTAAAATCTTTGTTTGTTACTCCTCTGATTCTTTGGGTTCCATCAACTGAAGCCTCATTCTCACTTCTTGTAAGTTTCCCATTTATCTCTGCTGGAGTTTCTGCAGGATTACACCCCATCATATTGAACCTCTTTAGTACCTTTGAAATATACTTCTTCTGATGCATAAAGATTCCCTTTTCAGTATAAGCAAACTCTAATCCCAAAAAATATGATAGGATTCCCAAGTCTGTCATTTCAAATTCCTTCTTTAAACTTTGCTTGAGTGACTCAATGTCAGCTGAACTATTACCAGTAACCAGTAAGTCACCCACATATAGGCAAATGATAAGAATTTTAGTGGAACTCACCATCTTAACATAAACTCCATGCTCAACTGAGCATTTCTGAAAACCAACACTATGGAGGAAAGTGTCAACCCTTTTATTCCACGCTCTAGGTGCCTGTTTTAGGCCATATAGGGCCTTCCTTAACTTCAGAACCTTCTGTTCATTCCCTTTACTTATGAAGCCAGGAGGTTGCACAATGAACACGTCTTCATCAAGTGGTCCATTGAGAAATGCTGACTTAACATCCAGCTGCCATAACTTCCAATTCCTCCAGCTAGCCAAAGCAACAATCAACCTCACAGTTTCCAATCTAGCTACGGGAGCAAACACCTCTGAGTAATCTATTCCTTCCCTCTGCATGAAACCTTTTGCTACCAATCTAGCCTTGTGCTTAGCAACTGATCCATCTGGTTTGAGCTTAATTTTGAAAACCCATTTAACATCAATAGGGGTCTTGTTCTGTGGTAATTCTACCATTTCCCAGGTATGATTCTTCTCAATGCTCCTCAATTCTTCTTCCATAGCTGATCTCCACTCTTTACTAGTGATAGCTTCATCAAGACTGATAGGTTCCACATCAGCCATGAGTGCCAGGTGCTGAACTAGATCACCATCAACTGAGATAGCATTGTCAGGATAAACTTGATAATCTGAGAGTCTTGAGGGAAAATTTTTGTTCCTTGTCGGTCTGTTTTCCACTGTTCGACATACATCATTCATTGTCTCCTGAGTAGTTTCCCCTATTGAGTTATTTTCTTCCCAGTCAAACTGTAATTTTGAAACTGTTTCAATTTTGGACTGTGACTCGCTCCATGAATTAGACTCATCAAAATAAACGTCTCTGCTGAAGAGAACTTGTTTTGTTTTTGGATTGTACAGCTTGTAAGAACCTGTAGGGTTGTATCCAACAAAAATCATTGGCTCACTCTTGTCATCCAACTTCTTTCTCCTCTGATCAGGAACATGCCTGTAACATAAGGATCCAAAAATCCTAAAATGCTTGACTGACGGTTTGCTTCCTGACCAGGCTTCCTCTGGAACCATGGAGTCAAGTCTCTTGGTTGGGCACCTATTCAGAACATACA